GAGCGCCAGCCGCTGGAGGGAGGTCCCGGGGGCTCCCAGGAGCCGTCCCTTCTCCTCTGTCAGGTGGGCGCTGCTGTGGATGTGCCTGGAGGCGCCCGCTGACCCCTGCACCCCAGCTGGCCTTCCCGGGGAGTGGGGGTGATGTGGCCCACATTCCAGGACCCGAAATACCATGTGTCACCCTCTTTCCAAAGCTCCCACTTTCAGCCCTAAACCCAACGGCGTCTCCGTGATCCTGGGGAGGTTTATGGAGGTCTTGCTACTGAACTGATATGATTTTAAAACACGGAATAAAATATTAGCATCTACAGGAAACTGTGGTTCTGGAAGCATCTCTGTCTCATGATGTGAGGAGCCTACTACCTTTTCTGTAAGAAACAGGTCACGCTCAGTCAGTAAAACAAATGGCCTCCGCTACGCCCTGTGTCAGAGCGATCCTGGGTCATGCACCACACAGCACGCTCAGGCAGGTCACCTGAGGTCCTTCTCCACTTGTCCACCTTTCCTCAGGGACAGCCACGTCCTCACGCCCCTCCTCAGCTGGGGGTCTGGGTTTCAGGGACATGGGAGGGGTCACAGGGGTGACTGGGAGGTCACAGTGGTGTCTGAGGGGTTCACAGGGGTGTCTAAGAGGTCACATGGGGTGTCTGGGAGGATACAGGGGTGTCTGGGAGGTCACAGGGTGTCTGGGGGGGTCACAGGGGTGTCTAGGAGGTCACATGGGGTGTCTGGGAGGTCACATGGGTGTCTGGGAGGTCACAGGGTGTCTGGGAGGATACAGGGGTGTCTGGGTGGTCACAGGGTGTCTGGGGGGTCACAGGAGTGTCTAGGAGGTCACATGGGGGTGTCTGGGAGGTCACAGGGTGTCTGGGAGGACACAGGGATGTCTGGGAGGTCACATGGGGTGTCTGGGAGGTCACATGGGGTGTCTGGGAGGTCACAGCGTGTCTGGGGGGTCACAGTGGTGTCTGGGGGGGGGTCACAGGGTATCTGGGAGGTCACAGGGTGTCTGGGAGGACACAGGGGTGTCTGGGAGGTCACGGGGTGTCTGGGGGGGTCACAGTGGTGTCTGGGAGGACACAGGGTGTCTGGGGGGGTCACAGGGTGTCTGGGAGGACACGGCCGGGGTGGCCGTACCACACTGCGATGTAGTCGTTGATGGCCTCGGTCTGCAGCAGCGTGAAGTTGATGTAGATGCCGTGGCCGGGCGGCGCGGTGAGCAGCCACAGGCAGTCCTGCAGCACCGGGTACTCGTCGGGGAAGCCGGGTGAGTAGATGGTGCCGTTGGGAGCCGAGATGTTGTAGCCGCAGGGAGCTGAGGGGGCAGAGGCCACGGAGACAAACGGTCAGCGTTAAAGGGACACAGGGAGCTCCTGGTGCCCTCAGCCCACAGGGTCCCCGGGAACCACGTTGTCAGAACAATCCCCCTAAACCCTAAAGCCTCAGAAGACTGTGCTTCTCAGCTGCCTGTTCGGGTAACACATCCCCCAAACATCCCGACTCCTCCGGCCACAGTCCTCCCAGCATCAAGGGGAAGCGCTGGGCCCAGTCTCCTGCGGGGAGCGGACAGCCCCCGGCTGCCCCAGGCGGGATGAGGAGGGGATGATGCTTAAGCAGGAAACCGACATGTCTGGTCTGAGCGAGATTTCAAGCCTATTTCATGGGCTGAGGCCGCAGCATCCTGTCTATTTGCTTTGAAACAGATACACTATCGCCGCCTCGCAGATCTGCGCCTGGAGGAAGGAGATAAAGCGATGCGCGGGCGTCACCGCCCGGCCGGCCCGCCAGCTCAGCCAGGAGAGGCAGCGCCACCGTCAGGCGCTCCTAGTTCACTTCCCATGCTGATCCGCATCGCCATGGCAATCGTTATTTTTGTTTATAAAAGATGCAATGGCCACACGTTAGCAGGATCACCTGCGATGTGCTCTGTCACTCACACGGCAGCAGCACACGGCAGAACCGGAGAGACGAGCAGACTTCTTCATGGGACGGAAACCCAACGGGTGTGCTGCGCGTGTGTTACCAGCATGTGCGGGGCTTTCAAAGACTTGTCACCAGCGGTGCAGCATTTACGGGGAACGAAGAGGCCAAAATAGATGAAAATAATAGGAAGAAAAGCTCCCTGACCATGAGAAGTCATGAGGGACAGCGGCGGCCGCATCACGGTGCAGCTGGTCTCGGAGGAGGCGGGACCGCAAGGCGGGTGGCCTGGCTGGGCTCTGGGGTAAATGCATCAGCAGCAGGGGCTGCGGACACACTCGGCGAGCTTCACGGTGCGGTTATAAGCGGGGTTTGGAGTCGGACAAACTGCCTGATAACCTAGAAAGTACTTCACCACCTGCGACCTGGGGCCACGGAGCCCCTGCAGTCACACAAGCCGGTGGGTGCCTCCCACGGGGCCTCTTCCTTCAAAACTCACGCAGACGTCACAGCCTCTGACCCCTTGGGGGAGGGGTCTCCTGTCTTTATCAATCAACTTGGTAAACCTTAACGTTAACAATATGCACATCATAATTTATGTTTTATTTCAGAGAGAGAGAAACATGGAGGAGAGAGAAACACGGATGGGAACGAGGCACGGGGAGCCGCTGCCTCCTGCATGCCTCCGGCTGGGGATGGAGCCTGGAACCAGGGCGTGTGCCCTGACCCCTGACCCGGGGCCATCGAACCAGCGACCTCTGGTGCGTGGACAAGGCTCACCCCCGAGCCACACCGCAGGGCCAGCATATACTCTGGCTGGTTGGACTTCTCATGTGATTGTGCAATCCAGGGGTTTCTTGCTGACAAAGCCTGTCACTTTAAAAGAAGCTGCCGCGTGATGTCCTTGTCATTCCCTCTGTCCCCGTGGCTCCCGCCACAGGTGCTAACTAATGCATGTAAAGTGAGTATCAGATGACAGCGTTTAAACTTGTAAAAATACCGTAAGAGAATGTTGACATAAATATTTCAGTGGAAAAGGATCAATTAGGTCAACAAAATACTTTAAGTTTTTGAGCTACCATTTGTAAGTGTAGATGCATATTTAATTATCAAATTACATTTATCGCATTAATAAACCACAGTCTTTTAGACATTACTGTAACAATTATAACCCACTTTTCTTAAAAACGGAGCCTTCGGTATAATTATAAGTTACTGGCAAAATTAATGCAGTCTCGACTTTCTCGCCACTGTCAGACACACTCTCTTATTTATTTCAAGGTTGTCACACTTTGGGTCTATTACTTTTCCCAGATGGGTTTGAAATATACTAACTTTACACAATAGATCCTTATGCAAATGGACATATTACTCTTTTAAGCATGTCCAGACAAACTGGCTTCATATATTCTGGGGAGGTTGATGCTTTCAGATTTAGAATTCTTGACTCTCAATTGTCTGAATTGCTGTTTTTAATAAAGACACCCAGAGGCTGTTCAGAACTTCTATTTTTTTCCCTAAGACCCTCCTGGGGCGCGAGGGGCTAGGCCTGTGAGGAGGCTGCTCAGTACCGCTGCTCTATGTCCCACCACAGCCCTGCGGGCAGAGCCCTCGGCTGATAAAGGTCGTGCCACTGAAGCTGCCGGGCGACCGGCCGAGTGCCTGTCCTGTGAGGGACCCTGTGTCCCCGTCGCCCCCGCCGATCCCTGCGCAGACCTCCATTCTCGGGAAAAGCACCTTTTCATTATAGAGCTTTCTGGAAACAGGCCTTCTAGGAATAAAGTAAACTTGTTTGAAAACAATGCCCTCTGCTGAAGCTTTGAATTTAATTCAATATGGAGGATGTTAAATACACACTGGGTGATGCTTAGAAATTTATTTAGGACAAGATTTTACATGGATCTTACATGTCACTTCTTATTCTGTTTAGGGCTTTCTAGGCATGGAGAGGGATATTATGGTAAAGGCATCTGTGCATTAAACCATCTGACCTTGCCCAGGACAGGCCTTCGTTGGCCGTGGGTTCTGGAAGGTCATGTATGGCACCCCTGATAGGACTGTCTGTGTTTCACCAGGGGGCTGGCCACACCCAACAGGCCAAGGGCAGGGCTGGCCACCCAGGAAGTCCAGCCAGGGGACCTGGGTGGGACCTCCATCAGGATATCGGGTGGTCTGGAAACTGGTATCAACCAATGGACGATCTTTGGACCCTCCCATGTCACGGCGCCCAGTAGAAACCTGGACACGAAGCCCAGCGAGCCTCCATGTTGGTCATGGTCTGTGCATGTTGTCCCAGGTCAGTTCTGAGAGCCAGGGGCCTCCTGGTCACCCCCCGCCTGCCCGTCTTTCCCGTGGTGATTTCACTGGGCCTTTCCCTGTTGTAAACCACCCCCGAGTCCAACAGCTTAGGGGTCCGGCGTCCCAGTGTGCTGTCCAGCCTCGGGGTGGCTCTGGGCACTCCCCAAACTACCCCTGGGGGCGGGCGGCTTGGATGCAGGAGGACCTTAGCTTCGCAGTGTGGCCGACTCTGGGTGGTCCTGCAGCCCTGATGCCGGTGCAAGAGATGGCGTCACCCTCAAGCCACAGAGAAGATGCGGTGAGTTACCGCCAACCCATCAGATAACTCTGAGCCAGCAGTTTTCTCCATGTTGGAAACTGGGCTTGAAAAAGCAATGAAATCTAATTAAATACTTAATTCTATTTTTTACAGCAAGCCAAGAAGTCCTCCATTTACATATGAAAAGATTCTGGCAAAAATTACAAATTAAAAGAAAGGGTTTAATCCTGACTATTCAGAGTAATTTATGCATATAAATATAATGGGGAATAGGATGAAAGGTCTTTTAAGTGATTTAATGAAACACCAGGTATGCAACTGCTATTCTTAGTTTTAAAATATAATTTTAATATGCTATTTTAAATTTGCATCACACTACGACTAGTAATTTGAAATGATTAAATTTGTATTAGGCTAAGATAATTTTTAAAATACAGCTAAAGTCTGGCTGGTGTGGCTCAGTAGGCTGAGCACTGTCCATGCACCAGGAAGTCAGGGTTTGATTCCAAGTCAGGGCACGTGCCCGATTATGGGCTCCATCCCCAACCCGGGGCGTGCAGGAGGCAGCCGATTGATGTTTCTCTCTCATCATAGATGTTTCTCTCTCTCTCCCTCTCCCTTCCTCTCTGAAATCAATAAAAACATATTAAAAAATAAATACGTAAAATAAAATACAGCTAAAGTTTGCTATAGTTGTTTTTATAATGGCATAGAATGGAAAAACACGGTTGAGAACGAGGCTTTAAAGCACCCATTGATGTTGTTTTTTTTCTTTTTCCTTCTTCAGTAGAAATGCAAGCACAGCCAGTCCCCATTCCCTCTGCGCAGTGGGACACGAGTATTTAACATTTCAAAGGTCCACAGAGTTGGCATTTTCATTATGTTTTCACTCAGAGCTACTGTATTTATAATGTGGAAATATCAGGGCTCCAGTAACTTTTCTGTCTGATATGCAGTCTTCAGAAACAAAGTCCTCGATCTGTTTACATTAACCTGAGGTTGCAAACATTCCCCGTTACCCTAAGCGTCCAGCAGCCAACAGGAGGCTCCCAGGGATGCAGACACCCGCCCCCTGCCACACCCATCAGCTGATTCCAGCTGCTCCAGGAGCCCTCCCCACCACCAGGGGACCCGCTGTGTTATTTTCCCTAAGAGGGTCCTACGTCAACCCTTTGCTTAGACCCTTTCTTCTCCCCGGACAGTCTCTCCCTCCCAGTAGCAAAACAGTGTGCGTGCTTCCAGTCCCAATCCCCAAATAAAACCAGTTTTCTGAAACAGAGAGCGATATACGATGATGACAGAAGTTAAGCCGTAAAAAATCTCTGGGGTGGAATTGATAACCACCCTCCCGCCTCTAATCTCACCCTAAACAGCGCCCTTCCCTTCCCAAGCAAACACCGTCTTGTCTTCTGTATCTGAAATCCATCCAAGCAGTCTGCTCGTCGTCTCTGGTTTTGCATAACAAATATTTGTGTTTATTATGACATCCTTGTCATTTCCTTGGGGGCAAGACTGATTTATGCATCTTTTCTTAACCTACTGGCCCAAGACGTGTTCCTGAATCCTAAGTAGAATGAGTTGGACATAACAGATCCCAATAAATATTTGTTGAACAAATTAATGCATTCTCGGATGAGTTCCTGTAATATTCAAGGCGCCGTTGTCTACGAGAGGAGCTACCTGCCTCCCGGGAGGAACGGCTGACCTACCGTCACACCTGGGGAAGGGGTGGCTCCAGCTTCTGTCGGTCCCGTGCTGACAGGTGAGGACGGGGTGGCCGATGAGGATGTACCCGGGGTAACACTGGAAGGAGATGGACTGGCCCACGCTGTAGTCGGAGCCGACCAGGTACCCGTTGGGGAAGGGGGGCGGGTCCGGGCAGTTCTGCAGCTCATAGGCTGAAACACACAGAGTCAGCTCATCAATACCACGTGAGTGAGTCACGGGCTGAAACACAGAGTCAGGTCATGAATACCAGGTGAGTGAGTCACGGGCTGAAACACAGAGTCAGGTCATGAATACCAGGTGAGTGAGTCACGGGCTGAAACACAGAGTCAGGTCATGAATACCAGGTGAGTGAGTCACGGGCTGAAACACAGAGTCAGGTCATGAATACCAGGTGAGTGAGTCACGGGCTGAAACACAGAGTCAGGTCATGAATACCAGGTGAGTGAGTCACGGGCTGAAACACAGAGTCAGGTCATGAATACCAGGTGAGTGAGTCACGGGCTGAAACACAGAGTCAGGTCATGAATACCAGGTGAGTGAGTCACGGGCTGAAACACAGAGTCAGGTCATGAATACCAGGTGAGTGAGTCACGGGCTGAAACACAGAGTCAGGTCATGAATACCAGGTGAGTGAGTCACGGGCTGAAACACAGAGTCAGGTCATGAATACCAGGTGAGTGAGTCACGTTCACGGGCTGAAACACAGAGTCAGCTCATGAATGCCACGTGAGTTATTCACGGGCTGAAACACAGAGTCAGCTCATCAATGCCACGTGAGTGAGTCACAGGCTGAAACACACACAGTCAGCTCATGAATGCCACGTGAGTTAGTCACGGGCTGAAACACACAGTCAGTTCATGAATGCCACGTGAGTGAGTCTGGAATGCAGAGGAGAAGAATGGTTACATTTAGCTTCTGGAGATGAACTTTTAGATATTTTCTTAAAAAATACATTTTCCAAGTTGCCAGTTGCCATGCGAAGTGAAAACAGTAATTATTGGTAGTGGAATTCTAACAATTTGCAGCTTACACTCACCGTATGGATTAGAAGTAATACAACCCAAAGTACATTGGACAATGTTTATCCTCACCCAATGATATTATTTCCATTGACTTCTAGAGGGAGTAGGAGGGAGGAGGAGGGAGACAGAGAGACATCGATCGGTCGCCTACCCCATGCATGAGCCCTGACTGGTGAGGATGAACCTATAACTGAGGTACGTGCTCTTGACTGGGAATTGAATCCTAGACCCTTTGGTCCACGGACCAATGCTCTAACCACTGAGCCACTGGCCAGGGCTGCTTTTTGTTTTTAAAGGCACTCGGACATACAGCAGGAGGAAAGCGGACCACAGGGGACTCTGACCACAAGCGTCTCCTGAGGCCCAAGCCCTTCCCACTCGTTAAGTGTTTCTGCATTGAGCAATGATGCTTTATGATGTAAAATAGAAAAAGACAACTGAGGTACATGCTCTTGACTGGGAATTGAACCCTAAACCCTTCGGTCCACGGGCCAACGCTCTAACCATTGAGCCACTGGCCAGGGCTGCTTTTTGTTTTTAAAGGCACTCGGACATACAGCAGGAGGAAAGTGAAGAGCGGGACTCTGACCACAAGCCCTTTCGTCTCCTGGGACCCAAGCCCTTCCCACTCGTTAAGTGTTTCGGCGTTGAGCAATGATGCTTTATGATGTAAAATAGAAAAAGAAAGAACGGAGAGAGGGAGGGAGGAAGGAGATAAATAATCAATTCCTCCAAATGTCAAATGACAGAAACCAAAACAGTAAAGAAAGCCCCTAAAATCCTCCATTTCAAAAATAGTATAAAAAACCCAAGTACCAATATGGCTATACCAATGCCACAAGTGAGAGTTAGCTCCCAGAACCTCATCTTTCCCAGGGGTCCCCTCGCTGGGACCAGGAAAGCCTCTGTTCCTCCCACCTGTCCGTCTCACGCAGTATTTGCGTCCATGTTTCAGTGATGGGTGCTTGATGTCACCCCGTGTTTCAATGATAGATGTAACCCCCACGGGGTCATGCAGCCATCCGGCTAACAGCCATGATGTTTCCTGACGCTTCTCTCATTAGCTGACACAAATCTCCACACTTTCATCTGCTCTTCCGCTCTTGAGTCAGGAGTAGGGCACGTGAACGCGGTTTTATGGACCATGGCTCTTGAACTCCATTTCTCAGTCTCGAAGGAGTCATTTAACTCCGCGACAGCTACATCTGCAAGCGACATCTTTGACCTTCAAGGGGACATCAATATACGACAAGCGGGGGAGGGAGAGGTGCCACCCAGACATCGCCGAGAATGACAAGGCTTGTCTGCGTGATTCATACGTCTTCCCATGAGTTATTCAGTAGGCGCTTAACTTACAAATCGCGCGTGGCACTGAGGAATTCTGATGTGACATACGAGCCCAGGTGAGTCACTTCAACCATTTATGCTTTTGGTGAAACGATGAACTATCTCGTTACCATCCGTCAGAAATGACACCCTTGAGCAGTGACAGCGCCTCCACTGCATGCCCCGTCTGTCTTTTCTATTTTATTTGGGTATCTCTCAAGGACAGCAAATTCATTACTGACAATAAAAATATATTGTTTAGGATTTTTAAAATGTGGATCCTTAAACTTAGAGTCAGGTGTCAAGTCAATAAAGCATTCACTCAGCCAACCAGAGGTGTGGCCTCGATGAGGGCGCCCAGCCCAGAGGCCCGAAGGCCAAGCCCACGGCACCAGTGGCCGCGACCAGTAGGAGCGAAGGGAACTCGGAAGCCAGTGGTTTCCGACTGGGAAAGGGGCCTCCACGCTGACACCCCAGGGGCTGTCCCCAGTGTGGCTGCTGGATAAATAGTCCCAATGCTGACATTGCAAGAGCAAAAGGGAGAGTGGGTCTGTGGGCGTTTCATAGATTATGTGACGTCCAGTTCCAAATCTAGACACTTTAGAAATGGTTACGTTGAGCTAACCCATCCTCCAGGGACTTCCCGCTGAGGGTGGGGAGAGGTCTAGGTGTGATGGGTTAGACCAGTGATGGCGAACCTAGAACACGCGTGTCAGAGGTGACACACGAACTCATTTTTTTGGTTGATTTTTCTTTGTTAAATGGCATTTAAATATATAAAATAAATATCAAAAATATAAGTCTTTGTTTTACTATGGTTGCAAATATCAAAAAATTTCTATATGTGACACGGCACCAGAGTTAAGTTAGGGTTTTGCAAAATGCTGACACGCCGAGCTCAAAAGGTTCGCCATCACGGTGCTGTCCTCTCCTCTGTTTTTACTCTTTTTACTTATGCTCTCCCCTCTGTCTGAAGTGCCATGTCCCCTGCATGTCACCAGACTGACTCTTGCTCCTTTAAAAAGACTCAGCTCAGCCCCTACCCTCATTCCATCCCATCCCAGGCTAGGAGACTTCCCTGGAATCCCGAGTCCCTGCCTGAGTCACCGTCCCAGTACTTAACCCTTTGACTGGACTTGGTGATTTCTCCCACTACCAGGGGTGGGCAAACTTTTTGACTCGAGGGCCACACTCGCGAGCCACATGCGGCTCTTTGGCCCCTTGAGTGTGGCTCTTCCACAAAATACCATGTGAGGGTGCGCATGTACAGTGCAATTGAAACTTCGTGGCTCATGCGCAGAAGTCGGTATTTTGCGCTCAGCTCTGGCCTGGAGACGCCTCCCAGGCCTCCAGGGCCTCCTCACTTACAACCTCCCAGGGGGCATTTGCCATGTCCCTCCGCCCCCAAGGCCACAGAAGGTGTTTCCCTCCAACTCCTGCTATTTCCTCAGCGACAGGAAGTCTCACACTGGATTTTGCTTTGGTCTCGAAGACCTGCATTAAGGATATGCATTTCCCACTAAACAATGAAACTGTTTAATGCAGAACTGCGTCTTACTGGAACCCATGCCCCTTAGCCCAGACACTGAATTCTAGATCCGGCCTAAGGAATGAATGGGTAGCTACCCTTCAAGAAAATCTACATACATGACAACAGGTGCAGGTTACGGGGAACTCAGTACGTTACGAGACACCGTCATGATAGTTTGTTAAATATCGGAACCGTTCCACCCTGATCTGCACTCGGAATCTAAGCCGATCGACGCTAAACTGTCACTGTTGCAGGTGTGAACGGATCGGACTGAGGGAGGGTGGCGTGGGGACGAGAAGTGGGCAGGCACGGGGCACGTGGAGCCGTGCTGGCAGATGCCCGTCACAGTCCTCATGGGCGCCTTCACCTCCCTCTTCAATTTCCCTTCTGTCCGGTTCCTGTTTTAAGAGGCCCCAGTCCTGGAACTCTACACCTATAATTTATAGGAACAACTTCGGCAATAGGGTCCAAAAGTCCCTTCAGGAATGAAAGAGTGTAGCTCTGTCTCCGAGAAAACCAGTGATTTAGCCACTTCAAAGAAGCAGGCCCTACTTTTGACATTTTCAACTTCATCCGACTTAACAATAGTCAGGAAAAGGCCAGCAGAATTATTGGGAATGGAATGAACATGTTGAACTTTTTCACACGTCAAAAACGCTAGAATGGCTGATCCAAACCTTCCTTCGAGATCTCAGACTTTGATCGCTCAGGAAGAATACAGTCCGCTCACTGCCTTTTTTCCGGGCTTAATTGGAATAAGGGCTGGACAGTGATGGACCTGATTCCAGGCTGGGAAGAGGCCAGTGTGTGGGAGACCCTGCCCCGCCCACGGCCGTCCTGGGGGGACCCGACCTCCAGGTGGCAAGGTGGACACATGGCAGGCGAGGAGACAACGTGACCATGAAGCCACGTGGCTGGAGGAGTGTGGCGGTGGCCACGGGGCGTGAGGGCAGCGGGTGGGCAGTGAGGGCGGCGTGGACTGTGCCCTCGGGGTCTGTGTCCTTCCTGATAGGACGAGGACAGCAGTGACCCCACCAGGGGTCAGCAGAGCCCCCCCCAAACGAGTCCAGCGGTACAGTGTCCGTGCATTGTGTGTGTGGGAGGGTTGTGAGGGGGGGGTGGGCCTCACCTCGGTAGGCCAGCCGGAAGCCCTGCCGGCTCTGGGAGTGGTCGCTGGAGAAGCGGACGAGGGTCTCGTGAGTGGTGCTGAGCAGCGCGGCCGGCAGGTCGGGGCCGCTGAACTGGCCGAGCAGCGGGCTGGTGGGGTGTGGCCCGTTCTGGATCTCCAGGAAGTCGTGGTTGGCCTCTGTGGAGAAGTTCAGGAACCGGATGTGCGCACCTGTGGGAACACGTTCGAGACAAGGAAGAGTCACCGCCGGTGCTTATAGGCCAAGCTCATCAGAAGTGACTGCCCCTTGATCCGCATCCCCAGGTGCCGTCCCTCCGGGGGCACAGGGCGCTCGCTCGTTTCGGATTAAAATAGACGCGGTTCAGTCCCCGCCTCCCCCTCAAAGCTGTGGGACCTTCATCCGTGCCATTAGAGTCCCAGTCACTCTCTGTGAAGGAGGCCTGTGACCAGCTGTGCCACGGGGACACGGGCATTGCTGCCTGGCCCTGGGGCGGAGGCGGGTTCTGCCCGCCGCTGTCCTAAGGCTCACAGCACGCACGCGGGTGGG